TGTTTTGTAAAAAGGTCCTTAACTATACTAATAGCCTATATATTATTTAATTTAAATATTATTTGGTAAAATCACATAAAAAATATTGAATGCTTATAAAAAAAAAAATGTTATTAAATAAATATATTTCTAAGAAAAAATATGTCATAAGATTCATTTTACTATGGTCGAGATGAGAAAAAAGCCTTTCACCGCGGTCTCAAATGTGACAGATAATGAGCCTATTGTTTTAACTCTTAGTATGTAATAATTTTTAATTTTTTTTTTCAAAGCCACAACAGAATAATAAGGGCGTTCTCAAGTTTACCTCTACCAAACCTAAAGGGATATATTTTTCTCAAGTATATGTGTATATTCACGTATCTTCATTTTATTGTAATCACTTGTATGTTCAACAGCTTCGATTATTAAATTATAAGTTATCGTTCATTAATTTGTGTTTTTCTTGCGAGTTTAAGTCATAAAATTTATTACTCAATAAATCAAAAACGTGCTAAGCAAATAATTAAAATACAAAGAAACTAGCAGTATGGAATAATCAAAATAGAATAATAAGTAACTATTTGAGATATCTTACTAATCTTACCTTCTTACTAATAATATAAATGCGAAAGTTTGGATGGATGGATGGATATTTGTTAGAATTTGTAGTCTAAACGCCTAAAGGGATTTCGATGAAATATAGCATACATGTAGAGGATAGTCTGAAAGAACACATAGGCTACTCACTTTTGATTTTTTTTTAATTCCTCGCGGACGGTATAACATACTACTACTTATAGATTAATTGGCCGTCGACAGATATATTTCTTTCTCCATATATTGTCTGACATTTTTTAAATAAAACGGACTTTCACGTTTCACTTTCGAAAGTAGAAATGATGAGTCGTATTACCTAGAATTACACCTCTCTATTAGTTTGTTTAACAACTGAGAATGCGCAAGGTTTTAAGAACCTAAAGTAGTAAAAGATGATTGTATGAAATATGTTTGAAATATAAATTAAAAATAAAACTAACTAGCGATCCACCCCAGCTTTGCCTGGATGACAAAGAGCATACGTTGACTATTCTAACATAGTATTTCAATTAAAAATCCCAAAAGCTTCAAAACCAATTACTATGTGACGTGTTTTACTACACGTAATAAAGGAAACTTTTTAACGAATATTTGAATTGTGTTGCATACTAAAATAAATGGCTTTTTATTTGAAATATTGTAACATATTGTTAAAAATTCGATTTTCCGCATCGAGAAATTTCACCGAATTTATTAATGCTGTTTTTTGAAATGATGAACATCAATGCGCCGAGCCGAGTGCGTACGTACTCAACGCCCATCGACAATGATTGATTGCTATCAAATCCGTTCAGTACTTACGATGAGTTCGCTCCTCGAAATTTAGGTATTTTTATTCTCTCACCTTATAAAAAAGGTTTTCCTCTCACCTTTAATAGAGATTCAAGATAACTCGAGAGATTGTATTATGATTCGAAAGGAGAATAATTGGCATAAACCATTTTTAGAGTATTGCCTTATTTTTAAACTAATGAAAAAAACGTGACAAATAGTGTTTATTGTGTTGTCTATATTATTTGTTGTTATTATTTTGATTTATTTAATTACTATTGTTTTCCCATTACTACTTTAGGTCTAGATTATTCCAAGGTTTATGCAAAAACTAATCTATCTTATGTTTAGCTGAATATTAAATGAAAAATATTACTTCGAAATTTATTTATTAAAGCATTACACAGTAAAGTAATCTTATTAATTTTATATCTTGGAGTAAACTAACCTTATCTGTTATTTAAAATTTGTTTGTCATCTTGCTTCGGAATCGTAAATAAAATGTTTGTGATCCCTGTCCATTCTTCTAGATAACGAATGGGAGTGCATTTTCTTGGTACATATTGAAGTAAACTGATACTGTGAAGGTTATTTTAAGAGAAGATATTACTTGGCTCTTTGTTTTATCGCTATTGTTGAAATCTTAAAATGAAGCGATTCTTTCGCATACACGGGGGAGTCTGAGAGCTTTCTTTTTGTTTTGAATCAACGCCCACACAATTTTAGTATCTTGGAATTTAAAGTTACGAATTCTGTTATTGTTATGAAAATCTGAGAGACAACAATTGAACCAGTCGTTCATATGATTTATGATTAATTTTGGGCTACACCGGTAGAGGTAGACCTAGAAAGAGATGAAGGATTGCGTGAAAGGTGACATGATCAAAAGAGATCACTCATATTACAAATACAAATACAAATATTTTATTGGTAAACAAATTACAAGTCATAATGTAAAAAAAAAACTTACAGATATTCTGAGTGAAAGTTGTGTACATAAAACAATCATTATAATAGGAAAAATTCCTCACTATAGAAGGCTTTTTGTATTAGCCATGACTTAAATTTACTTTTAAATAACGCGAGGCCCGCAGCCGCTGTGACGTGGTCTGGCAGGCGGTTGTATACGACGGGCCCCATGACGTGCGTATATTTTTCGGTCTTGGCCAGTCGGTGCGCCACCAGAGCCAGCTTGTCCGCGCCGCGAGTCGTTTTTTTTCACGAGTTTTATCTATCTATCATGTTTGATGACTGGTGTTTCATGACTAAGATGACAGATGATAGAGTTTTCTGGAGAACGGTAACCTGCCGCGCCGATCCTACAGGAGTTGGATAAAGAGGGGAAAATGATAATGGTTTTTTTTTGGAATTCAGCAACCACAATTTATATTGCACGGTTGTATGATGGTGATATTTAAACAATCATACTACTTTTACATTTAAAATAACCTATAACAGATATCACAGTCATCAGTATGGAAAGATAGACGATAGTTAAATTACTTTGATTCACAATACAATGTAGCTGTTGTTATTTTTAAAGACATTGAGACGTAGCAATAAGAAGTATATTTTTATAATGTATTTAAATTGTCTGCGTTCATATCTTTCTATAATTTCAAATATGAATTACACTTTCCATTTTCACACCAGGGCTATAAAGTTATACGATGTTCCCAAGCTGACTGTAAGCAGTAAATTTAAACATAAATTTGGTGATATCACACGTACATACAGACATATTATGTTTTGGAATCTAAAACATTGTATTGTTTAAACTGTGTCCCAACTAGTGAGGCATGTGGAGAACTGCAAACATAAATTTTTCAAACCGTTATTTTGTTGCGAACTTTTTAGTACAAACATATTTTTTTAAAAATGTTTGATGTTGTTACGTGGGCTTCTATTGCATTGTAGTTTTTGAGCGTATTTATATTATACTTACACAAATGAATTTCAGCAAATGAAATTTAAATCATACTAATATTATAAATGCGAAAGTTTAGATGGACGGATGGATGAATGGATGTTTGTTAAAGTTTGTAGCCTAAACGGCTGAATGAATATCAGTGAAATTTGGCACAGACGTAAAGATAGTGTTGAAGAACATATAGGACGGAGTCGCGGGCAAAAGCTAGTTATATAGTAAGTTTTAATTTATCATTCTTAAACTCTAAATTCCATTAAAAATGACATCTGTCTGATTGAAATTGAAAGTGTTTAAGAATATTTCGGGATGAAATTAAAAAAAAAAACACTACAACACATATATAGAGCAGTTATTGTAAAAATTTAACATAACACAAAGCTTAGTATAAAATGCACAGACATTTTGTACAAAATACAGAGAATAAAGTGACCAGTAAAAGTAATTTTAAAATGTAAGGTTCAAAGGTGATTAGTACAGTGAACATTCATAGGATAAATGCAAGAGAAAATGTGAATTCTTGAAAACTGTAATAAATCTAACATGAAAAAATATTACTTTAGTATCCTCGCACACCACAAGCATGAATATTAAAACTTTTTTGAAATAAAAGAACTAAGTAAATATGTAACTGAAAGGGACCCATTGACGTAGATAACAACAAAACGTATGTCGTACGTCTGTTTGTGTCGGAGAAATGAGCTGCAGATAACAAGTGAAAAGATTCATGTTTCATTAAAAAGTTTCAACTGTAACAAACATTGTTCGTAACCTCACCTCGGCTAAAGATAAAACTTTATTTATCTTTCATGACAATAAAGAAAGAGTTTTATGTTTAATTTTTAATATAAAGACAGTGCTTGAATGTTTTATTCTTTCTTCAACTATCAACGTGTATTCTGTAAACTAGATTTCACCCGCGACTCCATCCCCATGAAATTAAAAAAAAAACAAGTAAGTAGCCTATGTTTTCTTCTAGACTGTCTTTTATATCTGTGCTAAATTTCATTGAGATCCATTCAGCCATTTAGACTACAAACTCTAACAAACATCTACAATATTGATGTGCCGAAAGATGGTACGGCTTGCTTATCTAATGAAGGCCCGATGTAATAATTGGGGAGATATACTGATAAATTATTGCAACTCATTTTAATGAAAATATGTTGTGTGGATGGATGGATGGATGGATGTTAGTGTTTGTAGCCTAAACTGATGAACGGATCTCAATGAAATTTGGCATACATGTAGAGGATAGTCTGAAAGGACACATAGACTACATGGTTTTGTTTTTTTTAATACCACGCGGACGGAGTCGCGGGCGAAAGCTAGTGCTCAATAAATTAAAGAGCCTTATCACAAATAAAATATCATGCAACCCTACCTGGGATGGAATCAACGAGTGTCTAGGCTAAGAAAAGTATTAAAATATCTCTGCATCTGCATACTGACCTTGACCTTTGAACAAAACCTCCAATTTTATATTGAACAAAGACGTTCAAGTATAGCAGGGAAATATTAACTTCACCTCCTTTTTGTTCTTCTATAATTTGAACTTAAACTTAACCTTAAGAAACTCTAGTAAATGGAAATATTAAATTAGTTAACCTATAACGAAGCACTTATCAACAGTGAGAACAATGAGTGATTTACCTGGAAGGTTATTAACGCAGGCTTTGTTTTCAGGAGCGATGACCTCGACCGTAGAGGCTGTGGGGAAGCAATGACGCGTCTCGCCGCTTGTCTGTTTGGTCTTCATTTTCTTTCCTATGTTATTGGTAAGTGCAATCATTTGGTAACGCAGTTGCAGGCCAATGGTCGTAGAATGCTTTATAATTTATTCTAGTAGAATAGTAGGATGCAAATATAAGAACTTTATAGCTGCTTATTAATGTTAAAATTTCAAAATGTAATTATAAAACAAAATATAGAAGTGTAAAATTCAACTGCCGTGACTCTTCTATTGTCCCTTGTACTTTTTTTTAAACAATATGATGGAGTGTCTCATTGTCGGAACCCACTGTAAAATTGTATAGTGTACACTGTAAAAATCGCAATATTGAGGAAAATTATGGATTGTCATGGTGTGATAAACAAATGCGATCACAGCGCCATCAGGCTAGGATTTATATAGAGATATTATTGTTGTTACAATAGTTTTAGTTTGAATATATCAAATAGTAGAAAGTCGTGTATTCGATTACGAATACACGACTTTGGTATTAACCAAGTGTTAGTTTGGTATTCTGGAGTAAATTCCTTCATTTGATTAATTTGTTACCGTATCCAAGGTAACCACATCTAAGAGACGAAACTGTATAATAGATGTTTGTGTCTGTAGAGACATGGAGATGTCAAGCGTTCCAACCAAATACATTTATCTAGGGACGAAGTAAACTAAACTATAAAAATTAAATGTACCCATTATCAAACTTCGCGATAAATAACAAAGTATTCTCTTTTTACGTTAAAGCAAGTTGTAAAATTCACGCACTGAAGAGTTAAAGTTGCGAAATTATAATTTAAAATTCAACATTTAATCAAGCCCTGTCTGACAGGCGGGATTTACGCCTCTATTGAGGACATTTAATTTTCCATGCCATTTCTTTCTCCTATCCTTTAGACCATAACCAAATTAATTTTTAATTTAACCTTTGGGGTGTTCATTTTTACATTACGAAATTGTGCGTTTAAAATCTTTTGTACGAAAACCTTTGCTTTACATTTAACGTTTTTACAGCAGTTTTTAAGCATTGTAAAGTAAAATTGTACAATACTATCTACCAATTGCATTCATCTATGTAAAGCGATGTAAGGGGAATTATTCGAGGCGAAATTACACAAAGCACGTACCTAACTCATGAGTTAGGAACTCTGTATGAAGACTTTCTTGGTCTCGGCTCGGTTCTCGCATGCGGGCGCTATTGTGCGTAGACAGAAATCTCCCGCATCCTGCATGCGGACTCTATTGACTAAAGAAACTGTGTAGAAACTGCGAGATAACCATAATGTTCACATGCGTGATTTACGACCCAATCTAACAACTAACATAAACCCTTTACGACAAAGACCGTAACAAAGTGAATATAGGTCAGCCTTGCCACATGATAAACTGTGAATTCAAATTAACTTTTTTCAAACCTCTGACATATTTCATCCTAAATAAATAGATTTTTATTTTTTGGCAATTGGATTTAATATGAGTAGAGCAATATTGAAGATTCTAATGTCATTTGTTTTTAATTTTTTTTTTAAATCAATTTACAGTTCGATTTTTTTTTGTCATCAGTATGCCATCAAGACAACAGTAACAACCGTCCTCGTGAACAAAGCACCGTATCGGAATCATCAAGACGATTTCGTGCGGAGTTCTTAGAAGACTGGCCGCATACGCCCGGGTCACCATACTTCGACCCCAGCACTCCGGACAATGTGACCGGTTTAGTTGGACATCCAGTGACTCTACTTTGTAAAGTGAAAAACTTACAAAACCGCACTGTAAGTGAAATTTACTGATATTTATAGTTTTTACAACAATAAGCCTAGAATATAATAGAAGGGATTTTGGTACAGTAGTGTAGGCACATGTATGGTTGATCTACAAGTCTCTCTTTATGATATTGTAATTTATAGAGATTTCTCCAATGTAATAATTATATACAATATTAACTACCACCCTGACTGTGACTTGTGATGTCACTTCCTGCCGCGCTCAGAATCCTATTGGTTACTTAGTAAATCTTTAAAGTAGTTTGAGAGAAATGTGAAACAATGAATTGTTTAAGTAACTATTATTGTCTCTAACAGTTAAGTTAACAGTTTAATATGATGTTAATATACTTCGTTATTATTTTTATTATACCCATGAATATTTAAAGTACATTAAAGTGTTTACATGTTACAAACATGTAACAAAATTATCTCGTTCACTTCACGCTTCGAAGTCACGGCGGAACGTAACGACTCTTCTTGTTCAATCTTGGTTTTACGCATTAAAAGTTGAGGCGTTGCCATTTTGAAAGCGTAACGGCTTCCCAACATCAACGTTATCGACTTATATTGTTTATTCCGTTGGATTTAAGAGATATTTTACGTAAAACTCATACAAAACTTTACTTACGTTTCACCTAGAATATGTTAATGGTGTTTGTTTAAAAAACATTAATATTTTATTGTAAATTGTGGTTATTTATCAATATTAATGTAATACAACTAAGTATTTCCCTAAAAAGTCATAGTAAATTTCAATGAGAAAATTCAGTTTTTTTTTAATTTTTGTTATTGGTAATGTCATGTACTTGTCATGTCGAAAATCCAACACAAATTATTACTTTTTAAATTAATCATAATATTTTTATACAATTGTTTCGACAAAAAATCAGGTAAACTTAGTCAAACATAGTCGACTGTCTTATGAATTATATAACTTTATCAATAAACCCTCACTCGTATTGAAAGTGTCAACACAACTACAACAGAACTTGGCGCTTAACAAATCTTATTATTTCTTGTGTGTTACTTTTATTTTTTGTATAGTTTTTATAAACTACTTACCATACACATTTTAGTGAAAGAACAAGAAATCTAGACTACATTAGAAGTTATCTCTCTGATAAATTTACAAATTTACTTGACCTTATTTTAACAGTATTTAAAAATCTTCTATCTTACTTCTTATTAATATTATAAATGCAAAATATTAGATGAATGGATGTTTGTTAGAGTTTGTAGCTTAAATTACTGTGTACAATGATGTAGAGAATAGTCTGGAAGGACATATAGGCTACTTAATTTAGTTTAAATTAATATGAATCAGTATAAGGTTTCCAATAGTATCGTGTACTATTCGTATAATACCGAAGTTGTAGTGATTTGCATATCCACAGATTGCATTGGATTAGAATCTGTATTGGGACTAATATTTGTTTAGACTTGTATCTAGATTGCATCTGAGGCTTGTGTGGAAATTTTGATATGTTGATATCGGATTCAGTGTTGTATTACATTGAAATAAGATTGAATTTTCTTTACGATATAAAAATACATGAAACATAAATGAATCCAAGAAAATATATGCAATAAGTTCTTCGTAAGCAGTTTTAAATAACATGAATTTAACAATATTGAAACATTAAAGACTTATCTTTACTTAAATGTAGTTTAGGTTTTTATCAAATGCACTCGCTTTCTAAATGGACAACATTTGTTGAGCTTGACACGACAGTAAATTGTTGTGAAATGATAGTTTGGAATGTCCGATGTCCATGTCACATACAAAATCAAATATCTGGAACGCGGGCACAACTGCGGTGAACTCGTAAAAGTTGTAAAACACAATTTACGGCTTCGGTCTACAGAGAATTCCAGTACATGTTAGTATTTTGATGTCCCACTTTTCTACAACTTTTTATAATGGCTTTGATATATCACTGGAAATGAAACGGATACGACTATATTTTATATTTTTTATTTTGCTGGAGTACGCCACTCTTGTCTTGAAAATAAATGATTGACAGTTGGACAACAAGTAGAGTATTATCTTTTTACAATTTATATATCTACACCCCATTGTCATTCTTAATTCTAATAAACACAAACAAATTGATTTCTTAATTTAAATTTATACCAGGTGTCATGGGTGCGTCATCGCGATATACATTTGTTAACCGTGGGTCGCTACACGTACACATCAGACCAGCGGTTCGAGGCCCAACACAAGCCGCGCTCCGAAGAGTGGGCGCTCAGGATACGCAGCCCGCAGCGACGTGATTCCGGACAATACGAATGTCAGATATCAACCACTCCACCTATCGGACACGCTGTATATCTCAAAATTGTTGGTAAGGTTATAACTAATTCACAAGTACAAGGAAGATCTTAGATCTAAACTAGTTTGTAAGGAGAAACTTAACTTGAACTTAGTTGCTTATAAACCCAGGAAGCTAGATTAATTGACCAAACTGATATCTATCAAACTCTTGGAATTAATGCAAACTTATTTACACCTCACATATCATAACGTTCTAAGCAAATGAAATCCTTTTATAATCATCATATTCTAAACACATCAACTTATTTATGTGCTAGTTTATTACAATATATCCCTTTTATAACTATTTTATCACTACGCAGTGACATCGTTAAAAGGTTATAAGATTAACGATAACACAAAGTGACAGTTCGCTTGCCTCTCCAACATTATTAAAATTCCGCTATCTCTGTTTTTTTTCCAACATTCATTTTTTATAGGCCATACTCAACGAGCCGTGATACAAACCCTTTGAATAATACTTTACAAACTCAAAAAGCGGTGCTCGATAGCTCGTTGTGTTCAAGTATTTGTAGCGAATGTTCCCTACTCATGTACACATCTAGTAGCAATCGCAGCCACACCAGTGGACACGCGACTATCATATAAATCGGACGCGACTTGTCGCATAGAAAATCGCACGAATGGTTTTGAATTAAACTCAGTAGAAGATCATCATCTCCCGTCCTTAGCCTACTCCCGTTTTTGACTACAGGTTAATCTATCTTTCGTCATCTCAGATGTCATCATCGTCACTGTCTTCTTGATCATGTCACCTTTTAAGTAATCCACCCATCTGTTTCAAGGCCAACCTTTACCGTTGTCCCATCTTCACTCATAACTAAATTTCTCCTTGTCACATGCAATTACATTCACGTAAAACCTATACTATGCTAACCACTGGTGTTACTATCAGACTTTCTTTAATATCGGATCAGTTCTCTACTGATCCGATATTAAAGAAGTTAAAGATAGAGAGTTAAAAATACTGTTGATTAGAGGAATTTTTCGATTACTTTCTTTGCATCGTAAAGAATTTGCGATAAAAATGACTACAAATCCGAAGGAAGCCGATTAAGGACGGTGCGCTCTTGGCAAGCGAAAGCATGAAGCTTTGCACTTTACATGTACCAGTGTGTCACGTCACAAAATACTTTAGGCTTAACCTATATTGAGCTAAAGTTGTATGAATTGTAACATAAAGCTGGAGCTTAGGAAAGCTCGATTTCTCGCCAAAGAGTTTTTTTGGTATTATTAATAAAGATAAAATGCTATTTTGTAATTTAATATATTATAGTTATAGTTTATGTGCATATGCAAATGCACGTATCCAAAGTTTATGTTTGTTTCAGAGCCGGAAACTGAAATCATGGGTGGATCGGACTTGTTTATCTACGCCGGTTCTACGATCAACTTAACTTGCATCGTCAGACATACGCCGGAACCCCCAAACACTATAAACTGGACTCACAGAGGAAAGGTTATAAGAAACTCGTGTTTTCATTATTTTGTAGAAAATGCACAAAATAACTCCGTCATATTCCTTATGGTTTGGCTCAAACTGAAATCTGCAGGAAACACAGCACAACTAAAGACTTTTTGGGCGAAGTTTACATAAAAACAACAACAAAACTAAAACAAAAGATAGTTGGCACAACTCCTAGCTATTCGCAGACCATCTTTCAGCAAAGCATTTCTTAACAGATTTTAAAATTAAGTTTTAAAATGATGCATTTTTATTAAATACTGGACTGAAGTAAATGAGTATTTACTTAAAATTTATGATGCTTGATGATGGTAAATTAAAACATTTCTTTTACAGACCATAAATTTCGACTCAACTCGGGGGGGCATCTCGCTGGTGACTGAGAAAGGTTTTCATAGTAGCAGTCGGTTGCTGATCCAGTCGGCGCGTACGTCTGACGCGGGCTCGTATCAATGTGTACCCGACAACGCGCTATCAGCCACCGCTAGAGTACATGTTTTGACTGGTATGTATTTTATTAAGGAATGTAAACGCTGAAGATTTTTGAACTTAAACAGAACTCATTCGATAGTATAGCTAGCGAGCATTGTGACCAGAATTTACGGCAGGTTTCCACAATAGCTTTATTATTGTTTCGCTATCTTGAATTATCAACAGATATTTAGCTTGAAAATTGTTGTAACACATAGTTATTACTGGTGAAATTAAGACAGCTTGTATTTCGTGAATATTCATAGTAGATCGATGATGTCAGGGAATGTTATTTCCAGTTCCACATGCAACAAATACAACAATCCCTTTATTATTCACAACTTCGCAACTCATATATATTCTCTGTATTTCGTAACAATAAAGGAGTCTCGTTAAGATCTCTCAAACGCAAACATCTGTGGAACTTATTAAAATTTCAGGAGAGACGCCGGCTGCGATGCAAGGCGGAGCACAATGGATAAGCTACGGCGTTCCCAAACTAGTGTATATTGCTAATATCATACAATTGTATGCATACGTTAATTAAATAAAGAACCAACGATGTATAAATTTAATGCCGAGGAAGTTTTAAAAAACGCGGAATTTCGTTGTTGATAGGCAACCGAACCCAATACTCGATCTCGAATCATTTCTTTATTAAATTTAATCAAACCGAGAATCGCAATAGCAATAGAAAACTTGACCCATCATTTATATTTTATTTAAATTAACGATTACTGGGTTCGTACATTAATATAAGGTTATCTTCTATGTATATATGTACGATATATTTAAATACGTTACGTGATTAATTCAAAAGTTTCTGTGCCAAAGATGCATGGAGTTATATCCTTAGCCAGGGTAAAAAATAATAAAAAATCCATTCTACGATAAGTACATTTGAAAGAAACGTTAATTCCATTGTTGTATAAATTATTGTAGTCAGGAACTTTTAAGAGAATAATAGTTTAATTAGTTCTAAAGTATGTTAATTATAATAAAGATGATTTAATACTTGGTGGTTTTTATTTTTGTAAATCTTAACACGACAAGCCATTGTAAGCTCTCTACGATGTCAATAGAGACGATTTTCACACACGAAATGTTTCATTAAAATTTACGTCATTAATGACATTTATTTTAATGAGACGTGACAAGTGTTGCCTTAAACAGTCAATTCCTGTAATTTTCTCTTAAAAAATCTACACAAAAGGACTTCCTTAGTGACTATTAACTCGGAGTATTGTAACATTGTAGGCAAACATTAATTTAATACCAAATTCTTAACAGTAGTGAAAAAATTAGCATAAATGAAGAAAGCAGTTGCGATAATTATCAGTTTTAACCAAACTATTTTGCACAAAAATAATTTAGTAATCATCAAGATCCATCTACATTTCAAACAGTATGCTACAACACGCAATTAAACGAATATTTTCGTGCCAAGCCAAGTCTGCCGAGCGTCAAGTGTACAATGCAAAGTCAACCGAATTGATTAGATTGAAAACAAGAAGATTGGATCTGTCAAGAGCATTGTCTGTTTGTTGGCGGGATGCTGCGACACCGAGATGTTGTGTCACGTACGTAACAAGTCTATAGACTACATTACCTACTACTTCAAATTAAGCTTCACACTCAAGTAATTCATTTATTAAAATTTGTTACATTAAAATTTATGTCATTAATATTTGAAAACATAACATAAAAGTTGAAGATATTAGTGTAAAAACCGACTTCCAAACAAAATACACGAAAAACAAAACAAAATGCACTAAAAACAAAACAAAATACACCAAAAACAAAATATTCTAAAAAA